GAATGCCTGAGTGGTAATGGGAAACCCGACCACTCAGGGAGTCTTGCTGTGCCAGTCGGAGAGGACGAGGAATGGGACAAGGAATGGGACAGAGTCAGGTCCGTGGTGCCAGGAGGTCTCTCGGGTAGCCCAGTTAATCCTTCTGCTTGTTTTCTGCCCCGCTTGTTTCCTGGACATCGGGTTGGGAGATACCGCCTCCACCCATGTGTGCTCCTGACAGCAGGAGGCTGGAGGGACTGCCACCTCTCCTCGGGGCACAGGGCGTCTGTGCCAGGGGTTCGCACAGAGCACTTACGCCCCGACGACTCCTCACAGCAGAATAAGTACAATAGGCAGACGCCCTTTAGGAATCAAAAACACCGAGCTGCCACCTAGTCGCTCCACCAAGGCTGTGGGTAAGGAATCGGAGCCCAGCTGATGTGAGTTCAAAGCCTGTCTCAACCACTTACTGACTGTGATCCTAGGCAGGTTGCTCAGTTTAGCAGGGCCTTGGTTTTCTGGTCCATGAAATGGGGCTATCAATACCCGGTTCATAGGAATTTTGACAAAATACAGTAAGATATGACAGGTAAAACTCGTTAGCACAGCCTGGCACGTGGTCGGTGCTCGGGAAGTTACAGCAGCCCCGGCAGAGGCGGGACCGGCTGGCGGTTTCGTTCCTCATTTCGCAGAGTGGACCAGTTTCTCTTTAACGCTTCGCATCCTGTGCTGCTGGCCACACTCTGCTTTTCCATTATGTGCTTCGTCTGGGCATCGTACCATGTTCGCCAGCGATCTGTGTATTATATGAGAACTGGTACTAGATCTAAGCGGGGTGCACCCCTACGCCGACCCTGGGCCCACCTTCTAGGATTAAAGTCACAGCGGTTCTTAAGAGTTCTGGGACGTCACAGAGGGTCTGAGGACTGGCCCGGAGGTGAGCCTGGGTCGCTTGACCCCCATCTCGACAGGAGGTGTTTCCTGGGCAGACTTGGCAGACCTGTCCTTGGGCTCTGGCCTCCTCAGATCCCGATGTCCCTTGCCCTCCACACCGCATTAGCCTGGGCAGGCCTGATGGTTCCAGAGTGTTCTGTGGAATAAATCTGATGAATTCGATCCACTTGATTCTCCTGAAAACACACCCTGCTCTTCTCTCATCTGTTTACTTGCTCGGCCAAAAGCTCCGGACGCATGCGGGTGGGCAGGGTACCTAGTGTGTCAGCTGCACGCAGTCCGGCAGCTGGTCAGGGAAGGCTGCGGCCCTCTCTCCATCCCCAGCGTTTCTCTCCCGCTTCATATCCTCCCGGTGCCTGGGAAGTCTCTCCTGTCCCCAGTGGGCAGCCTCTCCCTGTCTCTGGGCATGAAAACCTCTGTGTCTGAGTCTTCCGTCACGATGCTCTGGACTTCCCATCAGACTTCCCAGTGTGCTTCCCTTCGAGGCTGCTCCCGCTCCGCTCTGCGCTGTTCCTCGCCTCTGCCTGGGACCATGGACGGAGAGGAGTCTTTGCCCCAGCCATGGCCTCGGGAACTGTTCCCTTATTTTCCACATACGCGGAGCCCTCATGAAGACCGCTTTTTGTCCCGTGGGTTGCTGGGGGGAGATCTCCATAGACACTGCCTTGTGTCATAAGAACACAAAGCAGCCTCAGAGTGGGCCCGCCCGAGAGGGCTGGGCTCTTGGTGTCATCAGGAAGAACTTTGCAAAGGCAGCTGTGGAGGACAGAGTGCTCTTGGGGCCACCTGAGTACTGCATACCCCCACACCCAGTCTGGAGAACAGGAAAGGTGAGGGGCACGGGCTGTATGGAGAACTGCGCGGTGCTCCCCGTAGGGCTCCTCCCCGCTGGCAGCCAGAGGATGCGGTCATTCTGCCCTGCTACCTTCATCTCCGTAGAACAGGCTTCGAAGCCCAGTCAGAGCACAGGGCACCCGCAGACGCCACACTCAAAGTCAGAGTCCCTTTAGAACAGGAGTCCCCTGTTCTAAACCCTGGGCGCAGACCAGTACCGGTCCATGGCCTGTTAGGAACCGGGCCGCACGGCAGGAGGGGAGCGGTGGGTGAGAGAGCGAAGCTTCGTCTGTATCTGCAGCCGCTCCCCAGAGCCAGCATCACAGCCTCAGCCCCGCCTCAGAGCATCAGGCATTAGAGTCTCCGAGGAGCTCCGAGGTCCCTGGTGCCACAAAGGTTGGGGACCACTGCCTTAAAGAACAAGGAAGTTGGCCAACCAGCCTGTGGCTGTTCTCACGCTGGTCTCATCTTTTCCCTCTTCTTCTGATTAAAAAGCCATCTCCTCAGGTTGTGTGTGTATGTGTGTGTGTGTATATAAACCAGAAGCTTTCAATCCAGGATTTCTTTTGCAAAAGTCAGTCCTTTACCACCAGAGGCAAAGAGAGAGCATGTTGCATGAGTCTTGTCAGTGGAATTTGTCATAAGGTGTTGAAGGTGCTTCAGAAACAGGGGCCCTTCTGAGTGCCCTGTTGTGAAAAGGCCTTCGGGGCTGGACCCCTCATACTGTCCTTGTCTTTTCTGCAGACTTCAAACCCTTCCAGGTAAGAAGGCGTTAGCCGCCTGGGGTTGGTATGTGGAGTTTCAGTCTCCGGAGCTGGTCTGGGGCCTGGTCTAGTTCAGATCGAGCCCAGGCCTTTCGGGGTCCACAGGCCAAGCCCCCAGTTGGGATTTCTAGCTATTTGTTTTGGTTTTGCCAGTAGCATATTCTACTCCTGATTTCTCATCATCCCATCCTCTTGACTTCACTTTATCTTTTCTTGTAAAAGAAATAATAGTAATGTGAGGAGACCTTAAAGAGTCTGTGAAATAAATATAGAGCTCTCAGATCTTTCTGGTAAGGGGGCTGGGGGGAGGCTGTCCTCCTAGTGGATAGAGAAAGAAGTGCTACTTTCTTAGGAGGATTCACTAGAACTCCTGGTCACTCCCCTGGAGACTTCCCATCTACACGTACACAAACTTTCTGCAGTTGCTGGCACCAGTTGGGGCATTTTTTATAAAACGGCGGTTATATAAGATGAAACTTAGTTAGCCGCCAAAGAGAAAAAAGTAAAAACCTCCTAAATGAGGCAGATAGAAAGTAGTATTTTTCTTATTATGAGGGTTGGCCTGAGCTGTGGGTTGGAAGGCCTCCAATAGCCGCCTGCTAGATTTAAAAAAAAAAACAAAAAACAGTTTAGGAAAGGCAAGACTAGTTCAGCGGGTTTGCCCAGTGCCCAGGAGAAATGTGAAGAGCAGTAACCAGGGCTCCCGGGGCAGGGGCAGGCGCTGGCCCCTGCTCTGGGGGTGCAGGGAGAGCACCTCCTTCCTTTCCTTCCAGGGCGGCTCAGAGCCCAGGACTCTTAGGACATAAGGGAGGGCTCCGGGGGACCCATTCGTGTGGGTAAATGCGGCCAGCTTGAATGGGCCTTTTAATTTCCCTCCCTTTCCAACATCTGTCTGTGGCTCTGAGCCTGGGAGAACGCGCCCTCGAGACTACGCACCCAAACTTTGACCAACAAATTGCTCAGCTAGCAGAGTGGGCCTCGAGATGGGGGCCTTGGTTTTACTAGGAAGAGAAGAGAGTCATGCACTACGGGGAAGAGGGCGTGACAGGCGACCGACTGTCCATTGGAAGCATGGGGGTAGGGGGCCTTGATCCAGGACCAGCCAGTGGTCCTTAGCCCTGGGAGATTCTGGCTTGTGGCCGGTTCCTTTGCTAACAGTATTAGGAGCACCTGGCGGCTGTCAAGGCAGCTTTAGAAGACTTTCTCCCCTCCGCCTTCTTTGGGGGCCCAGACCCATGCCCTGCTTCTTAGGTCCTGACTACCCTCCTCTCCTCTCTGCTAAAGGTTGTTGCCCCCCGACCTCAGGGCTCTTGAAATGCTAAATGTCACATAAGGTTTCTTTAAAGAAGAGGGAATCTGGCTCCCCCCAAAGCAGCAATGCCTCCTGCTAGTTTACCTTGAGCTGAGTTAGTGGACCTGAGTGAATGGTGTTTATCTGGCCTCTTCTCTGCTGAGACCCTGTATTTGGGATGGAAATGCCTTTTCCTCAGCCTGGGGAAGCCAGGTCCTGGCCTAGGAGTTTGCCCCGCCCAGCAGGGCGCTGCCAGGAGCTGTCGTTAGGTGCCATCGCGGTGGCTGAGTCTGGCTGTGTCTGGCTGCAGAAGAGTCTGTCCTGGTGGTCCTACCCAGGAGGGTGGGAAGGAGGGCGCTTCTGGCAGCTGCTGGTAGGCTGGCCAGGCTGCCGGTTGAATGAAGAGTCTCAGAGGGAGGGCGGCCCGAGTTGAGGACCGAGGGGGTTGCTGTGGAGAGCTTCTGTAAATCGAAGCCCTCTGGGCCTGAGCTCTAGCAGCTCACCCCTCTGGGCTGTCATCATTGCAGCCCCACCTGGCCAAAACAATAGGATCAAGCCTCACAGTTTGGGGATGTTGGGGTGAAGATGCCACTGCTGATAGGGGAACTCTGCTCAAATCTCCCCTTTGCCTGCACATTTCCCAGGTGGGAGCTGGCAAGTCTTGGCATTGGTGGCACTGCCCTGTCCTGTCCCCCAGGAGACTAGGCGAGCAGCTCTGTGCTTGCGGAGAGGCGGCAAGACCAGGCTCTTCCACACCTAGGCTGGAAATGAGGCCAGGGGGCGGAGCCTGTGTCTGCGTCATTCTTGGGGCTTCTCCTTCCGGCTCCCACCTTCCTTCCCACCAGGGCCCTGGCTGCCATCAGCACAAGAGGAACCTATTATGTACAGTCCTGCGCTCAGCTGCTGGCTGCAAGCTGCACATCGGCCTTCCCTCTTCGATGCTGGCAGAAATGTATCTGTAGCTGTTTGGGCTTCCCCACCCGCTCCTTGCCAGCAGCAGCCCTGAGGGTCCCTCGGGGAATGTCGAGCTAAGCCCCACAGTGGCACTTGGAAGGCTGCAGTGCCCTGATCTGTCCACACTGAGCACCTGGGCTCCTCCGCCCTTCTTGGGCCCCACACACACATGGTCACTAAAAGAAAGATCTGAAGCCGTCTGTGCGATGGGTGGCGTTTTCCAGCCCCAAAAGAAGAGACCCTGTCACCTGCTCTTGTAGGGAAGGGAGGCAAACTGGCAGAGTGGAAGGAACTGGGCCTGGGAGTCTCAGCCACTTACCAGCTGCATGAATGGATACAAAGGCCTCCCACCCCACCCCGGGTCTCTAGGATTCACTGAGATGCATCTGTGAAGTTCTGGCATATAACTATCCCCAAAGATGTGAGGGCTCCTTTTTCTCTTCCCAGATCCCTTTTCTTTGACAAACAGCAGCTGTCAGAAGTGTTACCCTGTGTCTCAGGGAGGGAGCAGGGGTATCCCACCATCCCCCACCTCTAGCCCCATCATAGGTGACATACCTCCCATGTTGGCGCTAGAGAACTTTTCCTGCCATTCAGGTCTGGTTCCCAGGTCTGGTTGGAGGGACAGGCATTGGCATCATTTTGTACCACCCCCAGCGAGGCCAAACACTTCCAAACTCCTCCTTGGGCAGTGACATTGACCTTGCACAGGGCATCAGGGTGCTTGGGAGGGGTGTGTCAGAGGATGGTAGCTGGCACAGCTTCGCTCCTGTGTTCTCATCAGTCAGCACTGGTTGAGCCCCCTCCACTGGGGACCTGGGGATGCCAAGGGGCATTTGAGTCCATCTGCAGTGCGGTCTGAACTTGTACCAGGCCCAGCATCCCTGGCTGAAGAGTGCGGAAGTCTTACAGGAAATGGTTGATAGCCAAGCTTCCGCTTCAGCCATTTCTACTCACTGTTAGGCTCCCAGGGACATCTGGGGACTGCTGGTTTCCAGGGCCCCAGGGATTGGGACAGGAAGTTTTACTCAGCCCACACAGGCATGTTCCTGGATCTGTGCTCCATCTGTCCTCCCTGGGAAGAATGCTGCTCCCCGCGCACGGTGCTGGCACTGCCGATTTTCCCATGTGGTCGGGTGGCAAGCCCCGTCCTGGGGACCTGCAGGCGGCCTTATGCAGCCAGGACCCTTGGTCCCAGGGAAATGTGCTCCCCGCCGCGTGCCTGGGGCCGGTTTGCTGGGGCAGCCGCACAGTTTCGTTCTTCCCTCCAGTGCTGCCGACCCAGGCCGGCTGGTGAGGCACGACACTGCGCCGTGCGGGAAAATGCTTCGTAAAGTGCTGTGTGGTGGCGGCAATCGATCCTTCGTAAGAAGAGAGCGTGTTTCACTTTCACGCGCTCAAGCCCGCGTCCTCGAATGCGCGGCAGGATAAGAAAATGAACTGTCCTTGCACCTCCCGGCCTTCTCCCTTCCCCTGGTGACACCCAGTGTGAAGAGAGGAGGGCCGCGTCCAGTCCGTAGGGGAACATGCGGGGACACTAGCTCAGCATCAGCGATGTGGTGCTCCCGAGGAAACCACAGGCATGGAGAGGGGCACGGAGACCGAGGCTGTGCCCGCACTCACGTCACCGGTGAGATGTCCGAGGCAAAGGTGCGGGAAGGAAATGCCCCGGAACGTGTGCAGGGTGACTGTGCCTTCTCGAAGCTGGACTCCTTTCCCTCCCATCTTTATCGGAGGTTTTTCCTCTAATATTTTTGTTACGAAAAATCTCAAACGTGCAGCAAAGTGGAGAGTTTCGCCGTGAACACCGGAATGACCGCCCAGAGTCTGTGCTGTGCCGCACACTCTCTCCGTCGTAGGTCGCCACCCTCCAGGCCTCCTTACCCTTCACTGCTTTCCAGAGGAAACGCAAACACTGACATGTTCCTTTATTGGGGCCTTTGATGAAAATACGTGTACAAATAATCAAACAATTCCAAAATGTTTTTTTCTTCTAATTCTTCTTTCCTCCGCCCTTGTAACGTGTGTCTGTCATTCCAGACTTTGATCTGTGCTTACAGAAACATGTGCATACACACAAATATTGAAATAGGTATGGCATTTAATGCTTTTCAAAAAGGAGAGGGTGCCCTTTTACCGATCTGCCACTTGTCATATTCGAAGTCTGAGGTGACACTCCAGTGGCAGGCTGATCGTGTGCCACCTCCTTTTCTCCTCATTCGCTCTATGCAGATGGGCCTTTGGGTTAGCCATGTCTTAACAGAGAAAATGACCGCAGGTTGTCCACGTGGCCAGGCAAGCGAGAGTGACTTCTCTCGCAGCTCACGTGCACTAGGACTGAAGGATTGGATTGTTTCTGTATTAGGCTTTTTCCTCAGGGTTCCTGGTGGGGGACTCTGAGTCACCAGACCCTTTGTGGCCATGAAGAATCCCCATTTCATGGGCCCCAGATATTTCCTTTTCGACCCGAGTCATCAGAGGGCACAGAGAAACAGTCTTGGAGGAGGGCGCCAAGCAAAGGGTCCAGGCCCACTGCCATTCACGAGCCCTCTGACTTGGGAAAGATGTCTGACCCCTGGCTTCAGCATCCTCATTTGTAAAGCTGGGACAACACTGGGCGCCCTGCCTGGCTCCTGAGATTGTGAGGCTCAAGTGAAAACACACACACACACACACACACACACCCCTCAAATATGTATCATGGGCAGTGTTCACAAACAATTAAAATCTTTTAGTAGTGGGGACTTGATCCTGTTTCAAGCTCTCCTTCACATCCATAATTCCGCTCTCGGCGTTTCTCCTGTGGTTTTGAGAACTTCCGGGTAACCTTTTGCTGACTTCACCTTTTTCACCTGCCTCTGAGATACTAAAGTTGACCTGGGTTCGTATTCTGCCTTCTTTGGATTTCAGTCTAAACTCTGCCCACCAGTCTCTCTCTCCCACATCTACGACCTGTTGCCCACCTCTCTCTTCTGAACCCCAGATCTAGACCTGAACAGACCCCTGGAGGTTTCCGTCAGCGTGTCGCAAGTGGAGATGCCTGGTCCGCCTGTCCTTCTCCACCTGGGTCTCCTCTCTTAGTGACAAGCACCCCCCCATTTGCCTCGCTTGCCTTGTTAGCGCACCATTTCTCGCTTCCTGCCCCCACGGCTAGTGTCGGCCTGGAGTTCTACCCGGCATTGCTGCACTGGCCTCCAGAATGGGCTCCCATCTCTGGGTTCTTTCAGTCCCTCCTCCAGCAGTTTCCAGAGACTGGGTGTGGTCAGAGCGCGTCTCCAGTGCCTCCCAGTGAACAGGCGAAGCCCAGACCCCACAGCAGGGCGTGAGTCTAGTATCATCTCCTTTCCTGCCACCGCCCCTGCCCCGTGGCCCC